TTCCAGGTTGCACGGACTCTACTACATTACACGGGATAGGACTAATCAGTGGGGGTCCTATTTTCGCTATCACGGACTATGGGGTGTCCTGTGGTTAATGGTGACAACGTTCGACTATCCATGTATTAATTGTGGGAGTCGTATGGTGGGTATATGGAAGTGACCGGATGACCGTTATATTATTGTGGGTTTATTAAATCCTTCCTTGAGCCGATGATTTTCCGGCTATTTATTGATGATGGCCTAGTTAGCTTGTTATTATAGGGCCGAGATTATTTCGGCTGCTCACTTAGACAAATGCACTGAGCCTATTATTATGGAGCCGAGGTTTTTCTAGCTGCTCACTTCGACGGATGTATATTTATGTGCATGTGCATTGTTGTCGAGTTTGATATCGTTGTTGTATTGTTTCACTATTGGCATGACATGACACGTATTTTATGATTGACGGAGATTAGACTTTATTTTAAAAGGTATGATATGACATATTTCACGTTAGTCCTTAAAATATATTTAATTATAAATTGCTTTTAAGCAAAATATTTGGTTCAGGTATGCATGGCACCTTCGGGACAGGGGACGTCATGCATACCTTCGGGACAGGGGACGTCTCGGGATATAGAAAGACGGGCTGAGTGAGTGAACTTACATCTATTATATTATATGTAAATTTTTAACCGAAAAAATCTCTTGTTTAGGAGTGTGTTTTGTAAATATTCATAAATCAGATTTTATTATATAATAATGTGCTTTTATGATTAATTTTAGCCTTAATACTGTATTGTGGGGCCCGGAGTAGGAGGTGACGACCTCATGATGATGCAGTGTGGCGGTAACATTTCCAATATGAACCAACTGGGGATGTTACAGTTTGATACCATACCAAAATTTTTATACAGTATTGATATATACTATGTCATACCCAAAGACGAAAATTTAAAATAATAATTTTGGTATCAATATTTTAAATTATTTTTACATATCTATATATTGAATACTAAAATAAAATATCAAATTATATATTGTCACCGTACTAAAAAAATTCAATACGATACTAGATCATATCGAAAATTTTAATATATTAAAATTTTTAATATGATTTTTTTTATATATATATACCAAATGTTTATATATTTTTTACTCTATATAATTTAAAAGTTATATAAATTATAATAAAAAAAATTAAAAAATAAGTATAAAAATTTAAAGAGTGGGGTGGGGGAGGGGGGCTCCAGCCCCTTGTCCCTGCATATTTCCGCTCCTGATAATGCGGTATCAAAGTATGTGTTATATAATTATGTCCTACTTTTTTATAATATATATTAATTGGGTCAAATCAACAAATGCTATATATTTTTAATATACATATGCTGATTGAGTTAAATTTACACCGCTTGACCAAATCAACATGGTAACTAAAACCATATATATATATATATGCACATTATGGTAACATAAATTATATTATCATAATTCATGTAAAATATCATATGAAATACCTATTTACATTATATTAGTGTGTTTGGTTAGCATCTTGCGGCCGGTTGATACTATGCTCCCAATTTTTATTCTAAAATATTACATCACATGAGACTCACTCAAACTCTATTTAAAATTTTTTATTTCTATTTCTTTCTTTAAGAAAACATTCCCTATTTATTTTTAAAATTAATTTATTTTAATTATAAATAATTATTTATATTTTAATTTTTTTTTTGTATTATAGAAAAATTTATTCTCGAAAAAATGATATCTATATTAAATATATTTTATTAAAATTCAGTTATTAAAATAATTAAATACACATTTAAATTTTTTTAAATCACATATATTACATCATAAATCAAATATTAATTGAATAAATTACTTCCAACGCAACTTTCAACTAAAAAACTCAACCGCTAACCAAACGCAACCTAAATAATTATTATAATTTAAAAATTTTTACTATTGTAAAACACATCAAAATATGAAAATAATCAAAATACAACCAAACAAACTCTATTTGTAATATGTTAGAATTCTCCTCTTCGAACACGTACTTAATGACAGAACTAGGTTTCGAACTTTGGAGTGCAAAACATCAATTTATTTCTAGTGATTTGACATGCTTTCTTTAGTTCTCCTTGACACAATAACAATTTAGTAGAGGAATTTAACAGTTTTTTTGAAAAATGGCCCAAGTCAAATATCATTTAAAAATATAGTATTGGAAGGAGTTTTGAGAACTTATATATTTATAAACTATAGAAGTTCTCAAAAACTCTTAGATATAAAATGATAAAAGTTTCCGAAACACTTAAAACATTAAAAATAGTAATTTTCGAAACTCTTATTTTCTCTCACAACTACTTATTAATATAGGGGAATCATAGGATTTGTCAAAACTCCTACAATTGGTAATGTAGGAGTCTTGAAAAAAAAAATTTCATGAAAAATAGTTATAAAAATTCATATATTTTTTATTATAGGAGTTTTAAAAACTCATATACTTTTAATTTCAATTTACACCATCTTAAACGATTTTATTGTATTCCAAATTCTGTGTAGGGTATGTTTGTTTCTGAAGCAAAATTTTTGCTCAAGAAGTCCAACTTTTCGATATTATTTTTTTGACTAAATTATTTTATAGTTTTATGCAATATTTTGTATTATATTGTTTGTAGGCAACATTTTGTTTTATATTGTATTTGTTGTTTGATTACAAATTTATTTTCATATGATATTTACTTTGGGGGAAAATTGCAAAAAATATCCCACACGTATACCCCATTATCACTTTTGTCCGTATTTATCTCACTGGCAAAATATATCTCAAATGTTTGCAAAAGTCACTAATTCTATCATTTAGCCGCACGTAGCCGCGCGTGATTGCGCGTAAGGACGCGTGGTGTGAATGTCACGCACGGACAAAAGATATAAATAGCGACTTTTGTAAACATGTGAGATATATTTTGCCAGCGAGATAAATACAGGACAAAAATGATAATAGGGTATAAATGTGAGATATGTTTTGCAATTTTCTCTTTATTTTGCCGTTGTTTTTAATAATTAGTTGTTTGGTGATTGTGTATTTACTTGTAATTTTATAACATCTTAGTTGTTTATTTTAATATTATTTGTAAGGTTTATATTGATATATTATTAATTTTCATAATGTATTTATGTATATTTCTTATCATAATATTTTTATATATTGATTATTTTTATAATATATTAATTTTATTCTTATTAGATTTATTTAATATAATTTTTTTTTTACAGAAGTAAATAACGAGTAGTGGCTAGAGCAATATTGATATTATGTTGTTGAGATGATAACATTATACAAAAGTCAAATATAATAGAATATGATTGTGATCCAGTGTATGACAGCTGTTCATCGAGATAGTACATTTGAATATTAGAAAGTTTAAGTTACAATTTGACCGAAAAAAGTCGGATGCAATATTCTTTGTGAATGCTTCAATCTGCAACACTTTTTAAATTCAGACAAATAAGACTAAACTTATGATTGATAATGGCAGATATTATCGTATATTTATATAGATAAATTATAAGATATAATTAATATTATGGATAGATTTTACTCATTTTGGCATATTATTGATTGGTGCAAAGAAATGAAGTAATTCACGCTCATACCATGTTTTCGATCAAAGAATTTTGGAAAGACTTGATCTAAGCTTGCATGTCAAAGAAAGTGATGGATTACGGAGATTGAGACGTAATTGTAGGCATGATGAATGAGATTGAGTGATTAAAGACGCGTTGAAGAACTGATCATCTCAAAAAGGGGGCCAAGGCATGGGATGAGATATCACAACTTACACTCACATTTCATAACTTGAAGGATTGGGCGAGGCATTTGAGCGGAAGCGCCACCGGGAGATCATCAGTATCTTCATCTTATTGCTTTTTTTTTTTTTTTTTTTTTTTTTTTTTTTTTTAGCATGAGTAGTTAGTTTTCTTTATTCTAGTCCATGGTTGAATTTAGATTTCAGATTTGGATTTATGAGATTATTTTTTTATTTAAATTGCATATTGTTTATGAAATTGGTATTTGTGCAATTTCTGTGATTTATAACTACAATTGTTTTGTTTAATCTTTTATCGCGGCCGGATTTTAGATTTGTTTAGCAATTGTGTGCCAATTGAACATTTGCATCCGTAATTGTGCACTTGTCTGATAAAGTGGTAAATAGGTTGACAAGCTTAGTCTAGGAATTGCATGATCAAATAATTAAATCTTTTCGTAATTGATTGAATATTTGAATTGGGTTTTTATCGGGCTATTTTCAATTGAGAAAATTAATTTATGGTTGTACCTAAATTATTTCTTTGATTAGGGATACGTTTAATCAGTCATACCATTGCTGCCAATAAAGTAAGGAAAAATTGGGCGTTATGATCGTATCTAATGCCTATAACCAATTTATCAATTGAATAACAAGATTATTTAAAATCGATGATCGAATATTTAATCCGGTTTCTTGTTCACTCCTTAGGCTAGAAGTTTAATCTCATTGAAATCTAAATTTTATTGTTTATTTTAATTATCTTAGTGAATTGTTAATCTATCCCCCCAATATTTGAATTTGTGAGAAAATGGAATTAAATTTCACAGTCCCTGTGGATCGACCTCGGCACCACTTGCTACGTGGCAATTATGGTGTTAGAGTATTTTTATTGGAAGCACCGAGGCTACCAATTTTTGGCGTCGTTGCCGGAGACTGACGTTTGATTTATTTCATGTTTTTTTTTTCATTCAATTATATATATTTTTATTATATATTATATATTTCAATAGTTTATGCCCCGCTCTTCTCGCGCATAAAATTTAATATACGAAGCAAAAATCAGAGATTAGCGAGGACATTGCGGAAGGAAGCAAAAAAAAAAAAGGCTGAAATTTCGTAAGGCTTCGAGTTCGAGCTGAATATTTATACTATTTATTTTTTATATTAAGCCTGTAATTGTCAGTAAAGTAAGAGCACAAGCAACGGCTCTCGCGTAGAAGCCCTTCCTAGCCTTTTCGAAGTCATTGTGTCAGATAGTCGAAATTAGGGGAACGCAATGGCCGTCGCTTCCACACCCCAATCTCGATTTGAAATAGACGCCGCTCGGTGAAGACGAAGCCATGTCGAGGAGGTCTGTCACTTCTCTCTCCTCCCCTCTCCCTCTTGTCTTCTCTTTTCCCCTTCTCCTGTTCTCCACATTCATTTTTTTCTTCCCCTTCTCCCTATTCGTACTGCTCTTTCTCGTTTCTCCCAAATCATTTTCTTCTTTGTCTCTTCTCCGTTTGTCATCTTCCTCTTCTCTTCTCAGTTCATATCTCCCAAGAAGAAGGCCACTCTGCCGATGAGTGTGAAGTTCGATAGGAAATTATCCGCGGGTAGTATATCCCCAACCGATGCACAAATTTCATCGAAGAAATTGAATACAGGTGCGCATTTAAGGATAAATTGCAATTAGAACTTTGTGAAGTTTAATTTTTGTATTATATGAAATAATTTCTATATGCGATTTCTTCCTAGGGTTCTTCAAATGGGATGTGTGTTCCATTATTGATCTGCTTTAGGTGTCAAGCGAAAATTACTTGCGAGTCATAGTTTTTGTATTTTTTTAGGTAAATTAACATTGGTGATAGGAACAAAAAATATGATAAAATTGTGGGTGGCTCTGTCGGCAACGGTACCAAGTGTAGGTGTAGGGGGATATTCGTTATCGATTTAATTGTTTTAATCTATGTGAGCATGCGGGGAAGTGCTCCGATGTGTTGATTTTTCATGTGTTGTCTATGTGAAAAATTGAATTTAATAAAAAACACTTCAATTATCCATTATTGTGGTAAGGCACTTCGAATAAACCGGTAGTGATGAAGATACGGCTATGTTGATGCATTTATGAAAATAACTTATGAATCCCACAAACAACATTCAACATGTTTTAGATGCAACACGCCTACCAGCGCATGATGAAATGAACAAATAACTTCGACTCTGTAGTGTTGTCGGGAGATGTTCACAACTGTATTAGGTTATTTCATAACGTGGTACCATTCACAACTTTGTTGAAAGTGTTCTCAATTCTTGGGGGGAAACACTCTTCCTACAGCAATACTTTCTTACTACAGCATTATAATTAGTGTTGTTATTAGTTATTCGTCTAGAAATATGTTGCTGCTGTGCGTGAGATGCGATGACAATGTTTCCAACAAATATGTAATGGCTTAAGTGATCTCACGAATGCCAAGTCCACTTTCCCTTGTGAAGTCATAGTAATTATGTATATGTAGCAATATGATTTAGTCTCGAGACACAGGGAGAGAGTGACGGAGAAATGTGACATTAAAACAATTAAATCCTTCGTCATATATTAGTTTACAATAGAAGGTTAGTGAAATAGAAATCTAAGGATGGCTATTTTATAATATCAGACATGTTTTATTAGTCAGTTAATTATATGAATATATATTTACAAACAGCCTTTCTGTTTTGTCATTGGTATTTTGGTTCAAACGATTCGATGCACAAACATCCACAAATATGTATGATTTAGATATATCTGCTGCCCCTTTGGGTGTTAGTTTTGTCCAGCGAATTAGAGTCTAGTAAGTTCCTTTGGTTTTTACTATTTTTTTTAAAGTGTGTACAATATGCTATTTATAGCGAAATTATTGTATTTTAATGCAACGTGTGAACAGAATGGCAGACTAGGGATACGAACATAGGGTTGATGATGATACAGTTCAAGGCCTCATGGAAATGCCTGAGCGCAGCAGCAGAGTTCACTCTGAGCCCCAGGATCCTTCACATTGCACTCAAAGTACCCCAAATATGGCCACATAGTAGTCATCCTTACCGAACCAATTTCATATGAGCTTCAGCCAGCCTCATCATCCGGTGCAGTACTTTATGCAACACAATGACCCATGATTCTACCAAAACATGTGGACTGTCAGGCTGCCAGGTAGCTGGTTGCAGCATGCTCAACATGATACCCAATTATCGTAGGCCCACACCACTCTATTGACTACAAACTGTCGGCTTTTTTCAAATGATACTCCTGGCAAAAGCATCCCCGCAGGCAGGGGTAAGGGAACAATCAAAGTTCAAATAAAAACTGGAATGCTGATGAGGATGTGCAGCTGGCTACGGCGTGGTGCAACGTATCAACCAATGTCCTGGTAGGTGTAGGCCAAAAGAGAGAGAAGCTTTGGGATCGTGTACGTGTACGTGATGATTTTGCATGGCTGATGGAAAAGATTCACAGAGTACCGAGGGATGAAAATAAAAGAACCCCGGGAGCATGCGAGAATAGGATGACGGAGATCAAATCACAATGCAGTAAACGGACTGCAATACGAGTTCATGCTGAGGGACAGTACCGGAGTGGGTGGAGTTCGGCTGATTTTGTAAGTTCATTTGAATCTATCATTGTGCATTTACACATTCATTACATGGCGCTTCCATAACATTCGTACCATTTACTTTTCAGGAACACTACTGCGAACAATTTTTTGTTGAAAAGAATCAGATCAGTTTTAAGCATCATGCGTGTTGGCGTATTCTAAAGGATCAACCAAAGTGGATGGAGTTTGTAACGGGTAAGACAAGGTGCCACATTCAAGCGAGAATGAAAGAGGGTGTGAGCGACGCACCATCCGGAGGGAGGCGCACGATCAATCACCCATAACCCCAATAGACCTCTCTCAATAGGAAATGCATGTGGACGCTGAGGGTTCCAATAAAAGGCCTGGCCGGACGGAGTTAAGTGGGCCTGCAGCGGTAGATATGGATCGGCCACTCAGGGTTAAAAAGGCAAAGAATGTCCACAAAGTTAATAACCAACGTCAACATAGGATCAGGCAATATGAAGAGTCACAAACCTCAGTAACACGGAGCATCACTGGCAGTCTCATGGCTCTTGATTCGTCACAAGCGGACAGATGGTCTAAGATGGAGGAGATCGAATCAAAGCGGGAAAAGATGATAGACGAAAGATCAAGCGAACATGTATATTATTTTTGCCATCCATTATTTATTGAGCCAATACAAGCTTGATAATATGTTCTCAAACAAGAATATTCAATAATTTTCTCTTAAAAATATCGAATCACATAGCGAAAAATAATATGTTCCTGCAGCATTCGGCACGGATGGCCAGAGAGATTGTTCTACTGACAAGGGAGATGGCAAAAGTCAGCGAGGAATTGATTGTTGCGCTACGTAAGTTTGACCTTGCAAATCTCGTAACGGAGGTCTCACGAAAGGAGTATGCAATCAGGAGGGAACAACTGGATTACTACACTAACACACATAATGGTTCGTACAGCTCATGCAGTTACTACTCCCGTTATAAGTCAACGGACATGACCCTAGCACTGCCGAGTTGTGAATTTTGGATGAGTAAAACCTGAAACAGTCAATTAAAATGTCAGGCAAAGTAATCAATATCCATGAACCAACATCATTGTCTATTTGCGGGAGTGCAAAAATCTTTAAAATAGCTATTAACACTAAACTAAAAAAAAAAAAAAAAGTAACTACACGTAGTGATAAACAAATACATAAAATATAATTGAAAATACTGAAAAAGTAAATGTTTTGCTCCCCTTTTGTATTTGAACTTCCACCAATACATGAAAAAAAAACAAGTGAAAGACCACCGAGAGGCATCGCTTAGTACAAAATAAAAAGGCCAGGAATGGCCAGTTTCCAAAAAAAATTAAACTTCATTGATTGCCACTTTAAAGTTGATCACAATTTCATCGGCTTCGAGCAACACTCCATGTATTCCTGCGCTTTGAGTATGTGCTACAAATATATCACTCTTAAGTCAATGGCAATAGTAAAATAATTTCTATGAAATAAGGTAACTACGCCATGAGTTTAAGTATAGTAGGAAGAACACTACTGATAACTCTATCACATTTTAGAAGAAAATGGAATAGTTAAGCATCAGACAACGTAGCTGCACCGCCGTCAACAAAACCAACATTGCTAACAAATAACTTACTAACCTCATGGCATGGATTTAAAAGCAGAAATTGCACTCCGGCCTTTTAGAGCATCTTCCCATCTCACCAAATTTTTCCCTTCGAACATGTGAGTCTCCACAAAGCAACAGTTAACATCACAACAACGAGAACAATAAGGACAGTGCTAGCAATATTAAACAGTCAATTACAATAGGTTCATAACAAGTTTTGATCCTACATCGTCATCACTTACTAGGAGCAAATATTCTTCCTACAAAGCAAATAACCATAACATACCTTGGATGATTTAATAACCACAAAACTAACAACATTGATGTCGAAAAGACACTCAAAATAAAAACACATGAATAAGGTTTTGGGATCGTCGCCAGCAAACGCTGTCAACCGCCCAAGATGAAACGTTTTCAAACGTCGTGTGGTTGGTTACATCAGTCGCCTCGCCAAACCCCATCACCAGTTCCAGAACTGAACTAGCCTATCAGACCTGTCTGTCCGACCTACCGACCATTAGACTTGTTTGTCCGATTGTTGACCATCAGACCTGTTTGTCGGACCGCTGACCATTCGACCGATGGCCGCCAAACTAGAGCAACCGATCTTGGCCCTTCCGATCTGTCTGCCCGACCGAAAACCGACCGACCTTATCATTCGACCAGAGACCAACCGACGAGACCAACCCCCCGAGGACCTTCTCAACCCTAAACCCTATATCAGTTCCAGAACTCAAATAGCCCAACCGACCAATCCAGAGAGGAATCGGTAGTCAAAGAGTCTTTCGCCGCACCCACCAAGCGACCTGCATACCATCCGAAGGAGGTCAAACTGACAAGACTAAACAACCGACCCTGACCTGTGAACCAAGAAGAAACCGACCGAGGACCTTCCGGCCTGCCTATCCGACTGCTAAGCATCTCACCTGACAATCTGACCGAAAACAACCAACCAGAGCAACCGACTAGACCAAACAACCTAAGGGCAAACACCAGATTGTACGGAATTGCCACTTGAAAAGTCTATCCTGTCCCTCATTTCCAAAATAACAATTTACCGTCCGTTTTTACTACCTTCAAAAGACGAGCTTGTACGGATGTGTCACTTGAAAAGTCTATCCTGCCCCTTATTTCGAAAATAACAATTTACCCCTTCAACCTAGCTCTGTACTGATTTGCTTATCGACAACCCCTTCACAACTGTCTTTTCATACAGCCACTTGCTCTGCTCTTCCGCTTACCTCCTGAAATCGCAAGTCAAGCCGCCGTTCTTGGCGTCCAGTCACGCCTTTCTGTATCATCATCTTCATCACAATGTACTTTTCCTAAACAGTTGGGCTTTCCCCTGTGTGATCTTCGTTGTTGTGAACCGGAAGCGCGATTTTGATTCGGCCATCGAAAGTACAGATCTCTGCCTCGACCAGTTTTAGTTTAAGTTTTGTCTCGTTTTTGCTTCCGTAGAATTTAGTTATTGCTATTGTTGGCGTCTTTTAAAAGAAGGGCTATTTTTATTCTATTTTGTCATGGTGTTAATTCTTACCCACTGAATTTTGGAAGAAAAAGAGCCACAACTTATTGCATTATCTTTCGGGCAGCTGAAATACGAGGCTTACGGTAGAATTGGTTCTATTTTTTCAGGACCATGTTGTCATATTTCAATATGTTATGATGCAAATGGCCCTATTGCTCTCTGACCTTATAAATTGCATTCTATGTAAACTATTTGACTTAGAGTAGCATATTTATTTTTACGACTTTTTCGGCAATAGCGTTGATAAATTTGCTCTTTGTTATTTCTCATTTTCATATTGAGGGCTCTTGATTGTGGAAGAAATGGTCAAAACATAGAGTAATCTTGTGCAAAAAAAAATATATTTTTTGTTTAAACATGCTTGTTTTTCCCCAGTTAAATTTTAAAGTGAAAAGTAATTATCTTTAAATCTCATTGTTATTGAATTATTTGAGAAAGTTTTGTTTTTACCACGAACAAAATGGATTTAACATGTTTACTAATTTTCTATAGTTGACTTTAAAAGTAAAGCTAATGTATTAGTTGATTTGGGTATTAAAACTTGTATGTTGTTATCAATTTATATTTACTTTGTGGGGCATAAGTAAGCTTCTTATTTACTTTTTTTTTCGTTTTGTGTCTTTTTCTTTTTTCAAATTCTTATTATTTATTTATTTTCTACCTATAACTACTTTTTACAGCCCATGACACAATCTCAGTCATTGCAATGTATTAGACGTCGGCAACAAACATGTGATTGCCGATCAGCTAACCAAACAAGTAATAGTCAGTCGGTTAACCAAACATGTATGCACATTATGTCTTTTACTTTCGTTTTTTAGTTTATTAAATTTTTAAATGTTGTTACTTTACTTAATTTATTATGTATCTTCGTATCTATTGAAACTTTACTCATCTTGCCAGCATGCTCTCCACTACTATGATTGTCTGCCATTTATGTGTCGCCTTGGGTCGCACCCCAACCGACAAAATGTCGTTACTGTGGTGCATTATTATTCCACCGTGAGCATAAAACCCTATATTGTGCTGGTGGGAAGTTTTCCTTACCCCTATTGGACATGCCATCTCCCTTGCAAGACCTTTTCCTTAATCGCCATGAACTATCATCTCATTTTCGTACCTATGTTAGGACTTATAATAACTCTTTTGCTTTCTCTACATTAGGAGTTCACTATAACGTATCTTTATGTAATAATGATCACAACTTATATATATTTCGTGTTAACAATACAATTCACCATTTCATTAACTCATTGCTCCCCTCAACAAATGTACGGAGAAACCTGCAACTTTATTACTATGATCCTACACAAGAGCTTGCCACACGTTTGAGTAATTACCCTACTTTACATACATCTATTGTTACAATCTTGATTGAGTTGTCTCATCTGAACCCTTATGCAAGTTTATTCCGTCAATTGTATACAATGCCTTGTCTTGATAACTATAAAATATTTCTAAAAACCTCCAATCGATTAGATCGAAGAGTGTATAATCTTCCACGGGTTGATGATATATCAATTATATGGCAAGATGGGTCTTCAGATTGTCCCCAATTATCTAGAGACATAAAAGTATATCCGGTTGATGGTTCTGTGAAAAAGGTTGATTATTATTCTTATGCCTATGATCCTGTTCAATATCCATTGATCCATCCTTTTGGCCAGCTAGGTTGGTATCCAGGTATTGTGAAAAATTATGCTACATCTTCGTCTTCCTCTACACAGTCAACACCTAATTTATCAGCAGAGTCGTTTTATACTGAACAAGTTGACCTATCAATAAATAGCTCCTCAGATTACAGTATGCAATTAGGGCGTAATAAACGCCGGATGGACAAGAGTCATGTCTCTATTAGAGAATACTATGCATATCGCCTCCAAATACGGCCTACAAGTCCTACTTTACTATTACATACTGGCCGTTTGTTACAACAATATATAACTGACCAGTACATAAAAATAGAAACTCAAAGGCTAGATTTTTTCAGGTCTGAACAAGTGCAAAAACAACACCGTCACGACACCATGCAGGGTATTCTAGACGCTTTTAACCAATCCCAACATGAACCGTTATCTATGATTGGACAACCAGTTGTCCTTCCATCTTCTTTCATTGGTGGTCCCCGTGACATGCAACAAAGATATATGAATGCTATGGCTCTTGTACAAGAATTTGGTAAGCCTGATTTTTTCCTTACAATCACTTGTAATCCACAATGGCCAGAGATTCAAGAAGTCTTAGAACCATTTGAATTATCAACTGATAGACCTGACATTGTTGCTCGAGTGTTTAGAATGAAACTTGAAAAACTAAAAAACGAACTCTTCAAACAACACTTGCTAGGTAAAGTGCAGGCGTATTCATATGTCATTGAGTTTCAAAAAAGAGGATTGCCACATGCCCATATGTTACTTATCATGTTTCCACAATTTAAATTACACAACCCGACAAGTTACGACAAATTTATATCTGCAAAACTTCCTAATAGTAACTTAAACCCCTACTTATTGCAATTGGTCTTGAAACATATGATGCATGGTCCTTGTGGCTCTCAAAACCCAACTAATGTGTGCATGGTTGATGGACAATGTAAGAATCATTACCCAAAGGAATTTGTGGATGAAACAATTCATACTCCAAATGGATATCCTAAGTATAAAAGACAAAATAATGGCATTTTTGTTATTGTGCGTGGACGTACTTTGGACAACCGTTGGGTGGTACCATATAATCCATATTTACTTGCTAAGTTTGATTGTCATATAAACTTGAAAGTATGCTCGAGTGTCAAACTTGTAAAATATCTCTACAAATATGTGTATAAAGGTCATGATCGGGTTGCATATACTGTGGGCTCAGTAACACCCGACACACCTCGTGATGAGATTATTGATTTCCAAACTGGCCGTTAGGTTGCTCCACCTGAAGCTTGTTGGCGTATTTTTGCATTCCCCTTGACAGATATGCACCCTCCTGTACTTGCTCTACAATTGCATTTACCTAATTTTCAGTATACTTCATTCAAAGTAACAGACTCTTTACAAGATGTTGTAACAAATGCACGTGCCCACAAAACTATGCTTACTGAATTCTTTGTCATGAATGCAACCAACGTATATGCCAAGGCACTTAATCTACTTTACAAAGAGTTCCCAAAACATTTTGTATGGGATCGAGCACACAATAATTGGAATTTTCGCAAACAAGGTTCAATAGTAGGGAGGATTGTTACAGCAAGGCCAACTGACCAAGAAAGATATTTTCTTCGCCTTCTTTTGCAGTACCGTCGTGCTCCTGTATCATACGAGGACTTAAGAACAGTTGATGGTGTTACACATGATTCATTTAGAAATGCATGTGTCGCGTTAGGATTATTAGAGAGTGATATTCCATTGGTGGATTGTTTGCGAGAAGCTGCACTTTTTCAAATGCCCCATGCTTTTGCACAATTATTTGCTACCATACTTGTTTTTTGTACACCATCTGAACCTATACAACTATGGGAGATGTTCAAACAATATTGTGTCCCAATTACCACAATCTCGTCTTCATTTCCACTTTTTCCTATTGATCGTGCTGCTGCCATAATTGTAGAAAAATTCCTTGAACCATTTGGTATGCATATTCATGACTTTGGAATATGCATGCCCGAACAGTCCGAAAATGGCCTAATTGAAATAACTTTACAACAGGCATCGCCTGCAGAATTTAACCTGGTCACACTCCCAGGAATTATTGACAAACTTAATTTACAACAACAGTTCGTCTTTAACACTATTATTGAGAAACTGCATAACAAGAAACCTTATGTCTGTTTTGTTGATGGACCAGCTGGTACTGGAAAAACTTTCTTATACACTGCTATTTTGTCATACACATCTGATCATACCATTAAATCTATTGTTGTAGCAACATCTGGAGTTGCTGCATCGCTCCTTCCTAATGGACAAACTGCCCACTCAAAATTCAAATTGCCATTGGATAGTAATGAGCATAAGACTTGTCAGATAAGCAAACAGTCTACCTTAGCAAATGAGTTACGACATACCAATCTAATTATTTGGGATGAAATTTCAATGGCAAGACGTGAACTAATTGAGGCTTTTGACACTACTATGAGAGATATTATGGATAACAACATCAGTTTTGGTGGTAAAGTTATAATCTTCGGGGGGGATTTTCGTCAAATTACTCCTGTCATAAGAGACGGAACAAAGGACCAGTACATCGAAGCAAGTTGTGTATCGTCTCCTCTATTTACACATGCATATAAGTTTCACTTAACTGTCAATATGCGGGCACAAAACGATAAATCATTTGCAACATTTCTTGAGGAAGTAGGGAACAACTCTTGTGTAAATAACAACAAAGGAGAGATTCAGATCCCAACAACTTCATTGATTAGCTTAGAAAATAATAACTTGTTGCAACTAATTGACAAGATCTACCCACAGAATTTACTCCATCCAAGTTCCTCTGCTGCATTAATAGGTAGATCTATACTGACACCAACCAACGAGACAGTTGATACTATTAACAATCAAATAATAGAAAGCATGTTTGGAGAACCAATCGTACTAATTGCAAGAGATGTAACTAAAGATCCATCACAACAAGCACATTATGAAGATTACCTAAATACTTTGACACCTAATGGTATGCCACCTCATAGATTAGTTTTGAAGACAGGTGCACCAATAATGCTATTGTGTAACTTAGACCCCACAAATGGCCTTTCAAATGGTACACGGCTTGTTTGCAAGCAAATTACACGCAATCTCTTACAAGCAGAGATTGCAACAGGCCCGCAAAAAGGAACTTTATGCTTTATACCACGAATACCTTTAAAGCTTAACAATATACATGAATGCTCTGTTGAGTTCATACGTACTCAATTTCCAGTGAAGTTGTGCTTCTCAATGACCATTAACAAATCACAAGGGCAGACATTAGACGTTGTTGGAGTGTACATGAAACAACCAGTATTTATGCATGGCCAACTATATGTTGCATTATCACGAGTAAAATCTTTTGACTCTTTGCATGTCCTCATTCCTTCAGACATCAACACTGGAATACATTCTTCTTGGACGAAAAACATAGTTTACAAGAAGCTTTTACAATTGGCTGGCATTAATATACCTCCACTTCCAAATCCCACATAGTCCACATCCATAAGAGCCCACCTCCTACCCTTACTCCCACATTATTGTCAACAATCTATTTCTTTCTTATTTCAGTTTTTGCCTTTTTATGTCACATCTCATGCCTTCTTTAGTTTGTTTCTGGTGATTTTTCATGGATTATATTTTTATGGAGGCTTAAATCAAACATGGTAAGTTCTCTAATATTTTTATGATTCACTTAATTTTGTTAGTGTGAGTTACAGTTATGCTCCATTTATTTATTTATGAATCTTCTATTTCTGTCGGAATTTTCAGTCCTGCTTTTTCCTATTGTTCGATGCAAGCTCATTTTTAGCCATTTATATTGTTATGCATGTATGGTTTCTTCATGTAGCATATATGTAAATAGAGTTTCTATCATCTGCACCTTATGTACATATATTATCTCTTATAGATTGCTCTGCTATTTGTTGTCAGATGTCAACACTTTGAGTTTGTTATACCTCTGGCAAAATATGTGAAGGGTATGTACGACACCAAAGTATCTGATGGCATGCGCTTTCAGAAGCTATTTGAAACTAAAGAATCCAGTGTTCATTGCTAGGTTGGACATTCATTGTAGTTTGTATTATAAAAATTACATCTTCTTATTGAGTTCTTCAATACGTGCTTAACTACAGGAATATGGCCACAATTACTCACATAAGTGACTTGGATGCTATTAGGTGGACAAATTCACATTAGCGTTCTGTGAAGGTATGATATTCATTCGAAATTTCGTAAATGACTATAGAAGAATTAACTTGTCTATTGTACTAAAGAGTGTGGATGTACTTACCTATGAATGTAATTGCTTATTTGCTTATTATATTTTTTATTTGGTATTATCATACACTTAAATGCAGTGACATTAGAGATTCTAAGATCAGTGTCATTCACAGGCTAAGAGAGGGCATTGGTTTGTTAGTGAATCAGTGTTTCTTGCTCTCCTACACCTTTTAGAATACAATTAAATTGTAATTATAGCGTTTCAAATTAGGTAATGATCTTGTATTTAATTCTTCAGCTCTGATCCAAACATTTTCGAACTTCTAAGATCAGAATTGAGCATCGAAGATCCTGCTAAGATATAGTATCAAATGGTAATTTATCAAAGAAATCGACAATAGTTTTGATCTAAATTCGTATTATAGTGGTGATCAAACTTGTCATTAGATGACATTTTTTATCGTGATTCCAATTTTTCTTCGTAACGAGATCGTTCCCCTTAATGTTATCAATGAATAATTTGTGCACTATGTTTGCTTTCAAATGACTATACAGTAAACATATTTTTGATATTGTGTTATGTATTGATTTATTTAGCAATACGGAAATTATATTTCAATCTTCCTAAGCTAATCTTCTTTGTATATGTCCTGCTTATCATTTGCTATTGGACAATGTTGTACAGAAAATGCTGGGAATGAATCAATCCATATACACAGCCATAGATGTTTCAAAGTCCATTAATGGTTTAGAGATCAAGTATGTGGATGTATCACCATTGTTGTTTGTCAGCACTGATCTCTAGATTAATGGGAGATAACTGCCTACAGTACCGGATTTCAGTCAGAAGATTCTTGCTGCCGACAGCATACTCTTTGCTTAACTGGAATACATTTACTCAACGACCGGAAACTTTTATTTACATATATGATGCATATGCTGTTCCATTACAGCCTTACATTAATTTAGTCCATACTTATTTGGTAAACAACAAAGTCTAATGTGGTCTTAATCCCTAGAACCATTTCATCTCAACATGATTTTTGTAAGATAGAATAAAATCCATTCTACAGCTGCAACTCCAAAATTCTGGGGGCAAAACTTTTAGTGCAACATCACTTTCATAATGATGGAACATGCATTATCTCATCAGCTTGATCCTTGTTAAGATTAATATTGAATGATTACAACTGATATCTTCGTTTTTATATACTATGTTATCACCTCTGCGTCTAGGTGTTTTTTTTCCCGCTCAGTGTGTCAAAGTTTTTTAACGATTTTTATGCAACAATTTAGTCATTTTAGAACAAGTACAATCCAACTGAAGAAAAGATTATAACCAACATGATATGTTTTTCAACATTGAAAGTTTCGCTCGTGTGCCTATTGCCTAATGCAAGGTATGTTGCCCTCAATAATTCTTAAAGTAGATAATCACCACTTTTGTATTCAATAAGCGAGCATTTACCACTCAATACCCTAACAAATACTAATAACAGAAAACATTTACAATCCAAAACCAAAATCAATTGACCAATTTACAGATAATAATTAACCATAACAAAATAATAACGTGATAATAATTAAAATAACTACCATTTCAACCCGTGCTATGCACGAGTGCATACATAATTAAAATATTTAGAAATTAATTAATCAACTATAAATGATAACTATTTCTAAAATAGTATTATATTATACATGTATATTTAAATGTTAATTTTTATTTGACAATAATTAAAATAATTAACTATATTTATTATTAAACTATTGAAATAAAATAAAAATAAAAATATAAAATACAAAATTAATTTTAATTGAATCTATCATTGAAATTTGTACTCAATTAATAAATATATAAATTTAATTTCAAATAATATATAATGAACAATATTATATTAACCCATATCTTTATATAAGATAATATAAATAAAAAGTAAAATAAAAATTATAGAGAGGAAATATAAAATATAATTATTGTTGAGCATAAAAAATAATAATAATAATAATAAATAATGGCAGTAGGATGCTGGATCGGTCAGGATATAAACCGAATGGCCCACAAGTCGGGACAAAAAATGTCGGACAGGCGCAGATGTCTATGAACACGAAGGTCGGGCAAGGAAAAAGTACGGACAGACGCAGAGGTTTGTGTAGAGGACAGTCTGTCCATCTAAGGAGATAAGACAAATAAAGTTGGTCGGTTGCTCTGTAGTCGGGACCGCTGTCGGTTGATCTGTGTTCGGGACCACAGTTGGTTGGTCTGTCAACCCTTCTCCTGTCGACACGTGTCCTCATCCGACCACAGTGTCATTCTCACTTTCTACAATATCTAACTCCCTGGACCGACCGCAGACTTTCCGCTTTATTGATCCAACTGCAAACCTCCCGACTTACAAACCCCCGACCTCAGTATTTCCCGACCTGATGACCTTCCCACCTATGGACTTTCCGTCCTGACGACCTTCCGACCTGAGGATTTCCCGACCTGGGGACCTCAAGACGTAGGACCTTCCGACCTGAGCACTTACCGAGCTGCAGAGCTCCGACCTGGGTATCTCCAGACCGGAGTACCTCCCGACCGGAGGACATTCCGACCTCCAAACGTCCCGACGTGGGGATTTTCCGACCTCCGAACTTCCCGACTTCCGGACCTCCCGACGTGAGGACCTTCCGCCTTGAGAACCTCCCGACCTGAGGACCTTTCCGACCCGCAATTTCCTTAGAAATATATTTACTATTCCTGAGTTTCCAACAGGGCCCCTCCGCCAGTTTCATCAAGTGCATTCCTACACACATTTTTCTTTTTACCCTAAGCTTTTTAACATAATTCAAAATTTCATATGTAACAATTTTACTATTCTACATTACTTAGAAATCCCTAATCTCAGGGTGATATTTCTCTATTTTCCGATTTTGACGTCTGAACTATTTGGTCCCGACCGGGTCCAATCTCCTCATTCGCCCAACCTAGAGGATTTACCCGACCGGTTTTGGACAAATTCAAAACTCATCCGACCTGGTTACTGCAAATCATATTCGGACTTTCAAAAGCCCATTGGACATTTCGGATGACCTAATCTTGGCAGGCCTATTTCCTAAATCCTATCCATTATTTTGTGCTCAACAACTTGTCTCGTCCCGCCGAAACGTCACTCCTCGAACTACAGAAGACGTGACGTTTTAGGGTTACAATGTGATCATCACACTGCGCTGCGTCAAATCAAAGGGTTTATGTTAAACCCCACTTCAACTTCTCAAACTTACACATTCACAATTCTAAAACCCTTTCTGCTCTCGTATAACTCCCTCCTTCGTTTTCTCCTTCAACCTTTCCTTACCCTCGCGTAAATGGCTAACCAATACGTTCCTGCACTCCCTTTTGATGGAACTGAACCCTCAATACCCCTTGTATCTTCCAAAGTTCTTACCCCTACAATCCGCCCTTACTGCACTACCACTGCGGATGCTGAGCGTATGAGTTCAGTCATTGTTCAAGTTTCTCCCATTATCGTCAACAATGAAGCGTTCAAACCGGAACGCCTTCTAGATAGCATCAAGACTCACTTGACCGACCCAAAAGATGCTTACCGGAAATGGTACGCGAGGCTCCTTCCACATTTTGAAAATCAATGGAAAGCCCAAGGGATCGATAAAGCTATTCTCCTTTCGACGCAACCCCTCTACCTCCATGACAAGGTTTTGATGGCCATGGCGGCTTTTTGGCATTCACAAACAGGTGCCTTTTTCCTCCCTTCAGGTCCAATGGGTCCAACCCTAATGGATGTAGCAGTGATCGCGCATTTGCCGATCACAGGAGAGGACCCCGTTCTGGTTTCTCTGGGGAATCAAGAACTTTCCCCCAACCATCAAGGTTGGGCTCTGGCCAAACTGCCTGAAAGAGAAAGAGGGTGGACATACTTTGTCAATAAATATCAGGGTAAGGAGGATACCCCTGTTTCCGAGTTGGAACATACTGCTTTCCTCCTCTTTTGGCTCTGCAGGTATATTTTCTTCCCCATTTTTAAACCTCTTTGATATACACAAAGTTTGATTGTTGAGCTTACATTTCTTTCTTCTTATCTTTCACAGATATATCATTCTCTCCCCTTCTAAACTTGTCCTTTCAACTCATATTGACCTAGCCATTTATCTGGCATGTGGTCATTTATCTTCTTTAGGTACCTTATTTCTAGCCAACCTCTTTGAAGGTTTAACCCGAGTAAGTTCCCGTCTTACAGATACCAAAAAGGCGGATACTGCAGCCTCAAGACCATTTTGGTTCCTGGAACTGTGGTTCCGTCTATACTTCCCCTCTGTATTTTTTGGTCGCCTCCCAATTTCTCCTAACCCTTATAGGTCTATTGGCTATGCTTTAGCCAGATTCACCCCGAACTCTTCTTGTCTAAAATCCTCTGACTCTATAATAACCCAAATTTTGACCGAAGATCGGAACAATTCCCGTTTTTTTGTATATACAACCTTAATGCAATATTCGACCGATCTTTTCTTCCTTTATCCCGACCCAACCTATCCTTTAACTCGCCCAGATCCTCTCCCTCACCCGACCTATATTTTCCCCTGGGACGCCGCAATAAAACCCCGATCTTTGTTTTCTAGCAGAAGGTCGGATAAGAAGAATCGTAGATCATTTTTTACTTACAATTACCAACCTCAATTTTTGTCGAGGCAATTTGGTTGCTGCCAGGGCATACCAGGGCCATTAGCCAGTCCTCACCTCATATTTCAAAGCCCCGAGGGTCTGGTGATTCCCGAACTCATCCCGACCTATATTTCTCAACTCACCAGCTACATCACCTCGAATTCATATCTCCCGTTCTGCCCAAAACCTTCGACAACCGAAGATTTCCCTTCCTGGTGGTCGGCCACCTGGTCTTTACTTGCCCCTTCGACTGACCAATTGGTCGGGAGACTTGCTCCACCCCCAGCTCTGGCTCTTGGCTCCCCCCGACTAGCAGTCAGAGGAAGAAAAAGGCAAGCCCGTACGGCAGGTGGGTCGGGAGCAAAAAGACAAAAAGTAAAGGCCACTCCTGCTATCGATAGGCAGGCCATCGAGGAATATTTGGCTTCTCTGCCAATAGATACTAGCGGGATGCCAAAGTATCTAAGGCAACAATTTGATAAGTTTTTGTTCCTTTCCTTATGTTATTTTCATACTGCCCCTTTCTAACTCCAATATGTCTATTTCAGAAGATCCTTCAATGCTCCCGACCACTGGCCCTACCACGTCTCAACCGACCGACCAACAATCGCCCGAGGCACAACTTCCCATCAATTTACCTTCATCCCGATCGACTGCCGTCCCGACCATAGAACAATCATCTATGGTCCGGACCACCGATCGACTAGCCATAGTCCCGATAACCACACAACCGACCCCCAGACAATCAGAGGTAAAAGATAGTTTCTGACATTCCTTAGACCAACAAAATATTAATTTTAAACAACAACTTCGAACCTTTTATTGTAGGCACACCGACAAGGCGAATCGATGGGCAGGCTACCTCCTCCCTCAACGTCGGATATCGTTGCGGTGATGCCCGACCAACTTGTTGTCCTCCCCGACCAAGTTGCGGAACCTCAACAAGTAAGCGCTAAACCTTCCTTCAACAACATCCTCCTGATAAAACTTCTGATACCTAAAACTTATTTGGTCCAGGCACCTATTGAAGATGTGGTAGTGCCCGACCCCGACCAGGTCGTGGCTTTACCCGACCCGCTTGTTCAGCAAGTTGATGAGGTTCCTCTTGTTGGTCCCGAACCAGTCCAACCCGAACCAGTCCAACCACCCCATGAAGTAGAGGAAATTTCCTCCTCAAGATCGGGTGAAGCTTCTGTTAATTTTGCCCCGTTGGATCCGGTTGGTACCCTTTCTTATCCATTTTCGGATTTTATTTTTGCCCATCCAACGGTGATGAAAACTTTTATCTTCTGTTCAGGGTATGGATTTAGCAGCCACCCAACAACTTCCACCAGGGGATGAATCAGTTGCTGGTCCGATTACCCGAC